CAGTATGTACAGTTCTATAAAACGTCAAGCGGTAATGGATCATAGGGATGCCATTGTGGGCAAAAGAGGGAGATCCTGAGCTACCAATAAGATATTGGGCATATCTAGTAAGCAAATGTTCTTTTTTGTGTATGATTTCTATGTTTGTTGCCACCTTCTTCAAGGTTGTTCTTTAGTTCTGATCATTTTTCTCTATACAGTTACGATTACTGTACACATTGACCAAAAATCGTATGTTTGTTCACATACGAGAAAAATTATGGAGTTTTTCTCTTCAGAAATTTGAGGACTTTGTGGCTATTTACACACTATAAGAAAACCTCTGTACGAGGAACAATTGTTCGATTTTCATATAATGTATACAAAACTTTTGACATCAGATTCAGACTTTCCAAACTAAAATTTCCAAAGGGACAAACTCCAAAGTGTTTCTTGTATGTGAAGAAAACGTCCAATTTTTGCTCACTGTAATCATACAGAAATAATCGAATAAAAAGAGAAAACGCACATTATCAGAAGCAAAGCATGACCCAGAAGAAGGTGGCATCAGACATAGAAATCATACACAAGAAAAACCACTGAAAACCCATCTCTTCAGGGAAGCCTACCTCACCCCCTGCTAACTTGCTGACCTCCTCCACTCTTCCTACCACTCCATCCCCCACAGCTATCTCCTCCTGTACCACTATCCCATCCCTTCTAGATTGTAAGCTCGAAAGAGCAGGGCCCTCGATCCCCTCATGTTTTGCATTGTATTGGTATTGTTCTGTCACATGTTCTGTCCCCCTTTGTAATGTACAGCGCTGAGTGAACTATTGGCGCTTTATAAATAATGTATGTATAATAATAATAATAATAATTTGCCTTTGTCATTCAAGAATTTCCATACAAGTTAATACCATTGTCGGTAACATTGTGATACGTATCTTCATGGAAAATCAAGCAACTGGTCACCTGGTTTTCTTATAGTGTGCACCCAGCTTACCAAAGCTGTGGAAACTTTGAATTGTACATTTTATTATTATTTTGTCTTATCAATAGCAAGGACTTTCTTTATGAATATGAATCAATTTATTTGGGAGTTTTTAATTATATTTTTATTCATGTATGCAATTGCCTTTATATTTTTGTACATAAACACAGTTCTGTGTATTTTATAGTCTGAGCACCCATATTTTCTAACTCTGTTTTTCTAGTAAGGTCCGAATTAGTGAACTTTTTAAGGCGATGGGAGTACGTTTTTATTACATATAAATTATTCCACAAAGACGGGTCCAAAAAAAACCAGCCTTGTTGGTGGAGTCATGACATCATGCTGCCTTATTTTTCCAAATTGAGCAATCCATTCTGCCCAAGGTTGCAATATTAATGAATAATAGCTCCGTCTTTCAGAAAATCCAACATTAACAACAGAATCAGAGAGCGGTAGATTAAAGGAGGTGTCAACCACATGGGAAATCTTGTAGCGATGCCAATTTCTCTGCTGCTGATGGCTAGTGGATGGCTTTCCATCCTGGAGCATGTTACAGATCTCATTAATATTCTGCTGGTAGATGCAGGCAGTACAGTGATTGCTGCCCAAGCAGACCACAAGGATGCATTTGGTAAAGAAGGCAAGAAAGGTGGATTTTGCCCAAGGCCAGTGGGATATTCCTTTAAAACAGAGATTTAAAATTCACTAAATAAATAAGTTAAACTACAATAAGACAGTATGTTTGTGCAGAAAAGCTGCCACAGCAAATTATTGTGCTGACGTTTCTCCAAATTGAATCAGCCGGTTTTATTTCTGCCGTCTCTCTGTTACGAATGATGCACTTTCTTGCTCTGTATTTCTATACAAATTTAATTGCAGGCCACAGGGAAGCACGATCTTGCTTCTAACCTTCATTTTAATGATGCAAGGATCTTTTTTAATTAAAGGCATTAAGCCTTTCTTCATTTTAAAGGCTTTAAAAGCTTGGATCTCTGAACCATTAAGCCTTCATATAAGCATAGATGCTTCTCAGGACATTTATTGAATGAAACATAGCTACCTAGAAACCTTTTTAATAATTCCATGTTAATCTTTTTCTGCAACAAAAAAATGTTTCCATTAACATTTTAGCCAAGTATATTGTATCCTCTAAAATAGGAATTTTTCTTCTTCCATATTACATTAATTTTATGTAGCTGAATAGAAGGTTCCAGGTAGTTTCTATTTATTTCAGAGTTGTTTTCTTTCATATACTGCAGTAGTAATAAATTGTGTAATCTTGGGTAATGGTTCTAGAAGAGCAGTGGTTTTCTTTTTAAATATGGTATTTAAAAATATTTGTATTGAAGCTTTGATTGCTTCTTGCTCATACTAGTGTACGGCCTTGATTATCTGTGCTTCTATGGAAGTAACAGCAATTAAAGCTGAACTCCAGGCAGATAAAAAAAGACACAGAATAATGCAGCTCTGTATTTATTTATACATCATTAAATGTATTTGAAAATGCAATCAGTATAAATGCTGAATTTGAGTTGGTAGCAGCCTCTTCTTTTGCCTGTACAGCAGAGCTCAGAATGGGGGAGGGAGAAGAAGCACAAGGAGGCAATCAATTTTTCTGCAGTGGAAGCAGAATGACTGAGATAAATTGAGCACTGCACTTAACAGCTGAATTAAAACAGGAGGTGTGGAGCCAACAAAATGCTATCGAAGTCCTGTAAAAAGCTGCCCACCTCATCGCTCTTTAGAGGGAAAAGCATGTATAAATGAACCCTTAGTTTGCTTGACTTTATGGGTTGCAGTGACCCACAACAACCATCAGTTATTTGCAGCGCTGTAAAATGATCAAATCATGCAAATCAACACAATAATAGTCCTGAAAAGGTGCTCATTAATTCCCAGTGTCAATGGAAAGAATGCAAACTAACCAGAAGCGCATTTAAAGTACGCATGTGTGTAAGAAATGCTGGAGATTCCCCTCTCTCCCTCTGGTCAGAAAATGGACCCTTGGTCCTTGCTCTACCTCAGAAGAAGTGCGTGCGCACAAAACGCATCAGGAGGAGCCTGTGGACGCCGTTGACACTACGCCGCCGGTGTCATGTGGAGGCCCGGCGGCCACCTTTAATTTTAAGAGGGTCAGTGGGTCACTTTCACTTGCCACCTGATTACATGCTTTTTACTTGGTTTTTTTTAAATAAATTGAAGTAATATACTACACTATGAGTATCTCTCTGTGTTCTCTGTGAGGGGTCTCTCTCCCCAATTTCACAGCCACAGAGTGATTTCAATCCCAGCCCTGGTTCCATTGAAGAGGAATATCCTATCCTGGGAGCTTCCTGGCCTGCAGGATTTCGCTTTTCCACAAGAGGGCGTTATCATCATCCATTTCAGCACATATCCATTTTCTGACCAGAGGGAGAGAGGGGAATCTCCAGGATTTCTTACACACATGCGTACTTTAAATGCGCTTCTGGTTAGTTTGCATTCTTTTCCATTGACACTGGGAATTAATGAGCACCTTTTCAGGACTATTATTGTGTTGATTTGCATGATTTGATCATTTTTACAGCGCTGCATTTTATATGTATATGTTTTATTGAGGATTTTTATATGCGTTTATCCTGGATGTTCAGCTGCTGTTTCTTTGAGAGCGCTCACTGTGTGTCTTTTACCTATACAACCATCAGTTATTGCTCACAGATGCCCATGTTAGAAAATGCCAAGGGTCTCTAAAGAAGTTAAGCAGATAAACTGCTGTTGGAGTTTTGAAAAACGTGATCATCAAATGACAGGGGGAATTCTCGGTACCAGAATCAGGAATGAATTGTTCTACATAGCCTTATTCTTGTAATAATGCTCCCCCATTATATTCCCAAGCTGAATATGGGTCACATAGTCCATCTATTAGAGTGCTTGAATCATACCTTGGTAGATGCTTGTATTTTTTGGGAGTTGAGGATGGTTTGACCCAAAAATATATTGTGACCGACCTCTCACAATGAAGACCTGGTGAAATATAATTTTTAAAAAAGTTCAGTTTTTAAGTACTTTATTATACTAAAATACAAGTAAAAAGAAGTGTGTACACTCACCGGCCACTTTATTAGGTACACCTTGCTATTGCCAGGAAAATATCACCCACAATATTACACCACCACCTCCAGCCTGAAATGTTGATACAAGGCAGGATGGATCCATGCTTTCATGTTGTTTACACCAAATTCTGACCCTACCATATGAATGTCACACCAACCAGTCTGCCCAATGTCTTTTTGACATCAACAAGGCATTTTCCTCCATACAACTGTTGTGCACTGGATATTTTCTCTTTTTCGGACCATTCTCTCTAAACCCTAGAGATTGTTGTGCATGAAAATCCCAGTAGATCAGCAGTGTTTGAAATACTCAGACCAGCCCATCTGGCACCAACAACCATGCCAAGTTCAAAGTCACTTAAATCCCCTTTCTTCCTCATTCATATGCTCAGTTTGAACTTCCACAAAATGCAATGAGTTGCTGCTATGTGATTGGCAATTTGTGTTACCAAGCAATTGAACAGTTGTACCTAATAAAGTGGCCGGTGAGTGTATATAGTTAACAGTATATGAGTTGTGTATAGTTTGTTCAACAAGATGTGAGCTATCTATAAAGCTATCTCGCAGCCTTAAAGTTACCTATCCTGGGAGTAATATGGAAGCTGCTTTTGCCGACTTCCATCTAAAAATTCTGGTTGCATATCTACCTTTGCTATCAATACTTACTAGGATACTGACCCTGAATAGGAATGCAAATCAAGAGGGTGAAGTCAGAACTTCTACTCTGCATGGTCAGTGTTGTAGAGACTACTAAAGCCTCTGGATTAGAATAATTTACAGGTAACCCATTTTTTTTCAGAAGGGTGGTCAACGATGACAGACTTTCACAGTACAGGTTTCCTTAAAGTGTTTTATGTAGGAAGATTGTACTGTAAAATACTTAACATATTCTCTGATCTACAGCTTGAACTACAGTGGAATGTGCCTGGCATCTGATGGTCAGTTTGGGGATTTCCTTTCTGGCATGGGCCCAGCTCAATTTGTTGGCCGGCCGGCAGACACTAGCAACCACCTCAATGGGTAAGTGACACTGAATGAAGGAATCCATGTTTAATGTATAGTGCTCTGTATGATCTCTATATGTGTGATGGGCAGGGAAATGATCCTTGCATGGGGGTACTAGCAGAAACCCTCACCAGTAAGTTTCTCATAGGGGAATAGTCAATCAGCTAAGTTAGATTTCTTGGCTATTAGCTTCTTGTGATCTTATGACTGAGTTGTAGGCAAAGGGTGATTATGCAGTTCACATATACATATACAGTATGTGAACTGTTCTACCTGCCAAAGTCATTTTGTTCAGCCAGTCTTGTGATTCACACACTTCTGCCAAACTACACTCCCAGGAAAATTACACCAGTGTGTTGTATATTAGCTTTGCAGATTTCTATGTGACTTGCCTATTCCTTGACTAAGGAACCTGATGTGTGTATGACCAATAGAAGTGAAAATTGGTTCTGATGGAAAGAAGCAGATCCACAAAGAGAAAATATAGTGTGGATTCACCCTGTTCTGGTTCTAGGCTGCCACCTCTCTGATAGTGAAGGGAACACCAGACGGTGTTGGATGTGTACAGAGGAGCACCTAATACAAAAGTTCATCTCACTTAAAGGACTTTTTGAAATCTTTAATGGGTAAAAGCATCAAATAAAGCCCTATGTGTTTTAGGGGAACAAGCCTACCCATGCCTTGCTGAGGACTTGCTGAGCAGTTGAAGTTATTAGAATCACAACAGAATGCACTAAGGGACCTGTGTTAAGACTTGATGAAGACTGGTGTTTCTTGATGGCTCTACAGCCAGCCACTTTTAGTGCTCTAAGGAGACTCTAGTCTTCATCAAGCCTTAACACAGGTCCCTTAGTGCATCCTGTCATGATTCTAATAAAATCGACTGGTCAAGCCCTGAAAATCAAGGAGACCTTTAAGTGACATGAAGTTTCGCATCAGGAACTCCTCAGTACACATTCAAAACCTGACCAAGGAACAGAATCCATACACTGGTGAATTATGGATTGGTGAAGATGCAGGTGACACAGGTGTCACGAGTCTAGCTGAACAGAATTTACATATGTGTATTTCAACAGTGTATTTACAGTAGCTGTATGACTGGGAACACTGAAAGTTAAACTTGCTATTTGTCCTTACCAGTTAAATGTACAGTATATTATTGATTACAAAAGTAGTAACAGTTACTGTAAGAGAAATCAGCTGCCCCTATAAATATTACTCAATCGTTTGGACCACATAAAGGCACCCACACCTTTTTCGGGAAATCGAAGATACAGTAGAATCAGTTGATTAAACCAAGCTGGGATCGATTTACAAAACTTGATAAAAAAATAGCATGATGTCTTGGGTTGAAAGAAACGGAGATTCAAAGCACCATAGTTTTATTACTGAACAGAATATATAACATTTAATGCAATTAATTATTTTTTCTCTAAGGGGATGTTGAAGTTGGGCTATTGGAAAGAAATGGACAACTTGAAGTAGAAGTTATTCAAGCTAGAGGTCTAACAGCGAAGGCTGGTTCTAAAACACCGCCAGGTATGTTGACAGATATAAATTATGCTTGTGAGGAAACTTGTGAAGATAAGTAACAGAGTGACCAGCCAGGGGTTCAGGTTGGGGCATCCACCTTTGTCTCCACACTGACATTCATGGGAAGGTGACCGGATGTCAACTTCCTACCCAACGTGACCACCACCATGCCACCGTAGGGGAACTTTGTTACAGTCTTGTCAATAGGTCATTGCTCACCCTTCATTAGAGTAGATGACCGCCCTACAGAATGCAGACAGAACTATTAGCTGGCATAAACCTATATTATTATATTTTATTATTATACAGGATTTATATAGCGCCAACAATGTGAGGGCAAACAGTACAGTTACAATTCAATTGAATGCAGGAGGAAGCAGAGGGCCCTGCTCATTAGAGCTTACAATCTAAAAGGGGAAGGTCAAGTGATACAAAATGGAGAAAAAACATTTACAGTTGTTAGGTGGAGGCAGGATAGGCTTCTCTGAAGAAAAAAGTTTTCAGGGATTGCCTAAAAGTGGACAGAGTAGGAGACAGTCTGACAGATTGGAGTAGGGAATTCCATACGATGGGAGAAGTCCTGCAGGCGAGCTTGAGAGGTGACAACTAAACTGGAGAGCAGGAGGTCTTGGGAGGAACGAAGAGTGCAATTTGGTTGGTATTATAAATACTGTATAATAATAATATTTTAGATTAGGTTAGTGATGTAGCTGGGGGCCGAGTTATGGATGGGTTTGTAAGTTGTTGTTAGCATTTTGAATTTAATTTGTAGGGTGAGTGGCAGTCAATGGAGAGAATGGCAGAGAGGGGTAGCAGACACTGAACGGTTGGTAAGCTGGATAAGTCTGGCAGCAGTATTCATGACAAACTGGAGGGGGGATAGCCTATGTAAAGGTAAACTAATGAAGAGGGAGTTACAGTAGTCAAGGCAAGAGATAACCTGGTAGTGAATTAGGTGAATTAGCTTTGTGGTGTCATTGGTTAGGAAAGGGTGTATTTTGGAGATGTTGCGGAGGTTGAGATGGCAAGCTTTGGAAAGTGATTGGATGTGGGGCCGAAATTAGAGTTCAGAGTCTAGGATTACACCTAGTACCCTGGCATGTGGTGACAGGTTGATGGTTGTGCCATTGGTCTTGACAGAGAAGTCAGGGGGAAGGGGCACATGGGGGAGGAAATAGTAGGAGCTCAGTTTTGGATAGATTGAGTTTGAGGAAGTGGTGTGACATAAAGGCTGATGTGTTGGTCAGTAAGTTAGTGATACGTGAGAAGGAGCTGAGGGGTAGAGAGATAGATTTGGGTGTTGTCAGCGTAGAAATGATGTTGAAAGCCATAGATGGCTATCAGATGACCCAGGGAGGAGGTGTAGATTGAGAATAGGAGAGGTCCAAAAACAGAACCTTTGGGACCCCTATGGACAAAAGGAAGAAGAGAGGAGGAAGTAGAATTTGTAAGTGAAACTGAATGTACGGTGGGATAGGTAGGATGAGAACCAATGAAGAGCACAGTCACAGGTGCCGAGGGAATAAAGTGTTTTTTTTGAGGAGGGGGTGGTCAATCGTATCAAAGGCAGCTGAGAGGTCCAGAAGTAGGAGTAAAGAATAGTGTCCATTGGTTTTTTCTGTTAGTAAATTGTTTGTGAGTTTTCGGGAGAGCAGTTTCTGTGGAGTGTTGAGGGCGAAATCCAGACTGAAGGGGATCAAGAAGGTTATTCTTGATGAGGTGATCGCTCAATTGGCTATAGACCAGACATTCAAGGAGTTTGGAGGAAAAGGGGAGAAAGTAGATGGGGCATAGGTTGTTAAGATTGCTATATCTTCTAGTTTATTTTCACTGGGTCTTCTTGTCAGTCTTTCACGAGTCCTATTATGAAAACAGGCACATAAACTTAAACTTTTCTTATTCCGCCCTGTAAGTTTCTGTCATATGCATGGTGCAAAAACAGCAAAACGCTGATATTTTCTTAAAGTAAAACTATACTTTGCTGGGGAAAAAAACAGTCTTCTGTGGGATTTTAGCAAACCTCAATATGGATTTGTTACTTGCTTCTTTTCTTTATATAAGTAGTGGCATGCCTTTCTACTGACGTCTTCAGACTGAGTGTTTAGTAATAAGGACCTTCTGCCATGAGCACAGATTCAATCCCAATGTTGTAATTAAAGATTCAGTGCTATCATAGCACCTTCATAGATGAATTCCCAAAATATCACCAAATATCAAAGGTTCGGTGCCATACTAAGGGCAATGCTGGTAATGCTGAAAATGTAATCTCAAGCTCTATGCTGGTATCTGACAGTAGCAAGTAAGCCAATTATTATAAGTGTGCAAGGGAATTTCTAGTGCACTCTATAAGATTCAGTGCTATCAAAACACCTTCGTAGATGAATTCCCAAAATATCACCAAAGATCCAAGGCAAGCTGCCATACTAAGGGCAATGCTGGAAAGCTGAAAATGTCATCTCAAGCTCTATGCTGGCATCTAACAGTAGCAAGTAAGCCAATTATTATAAGTGGGTAAGGGCATTTCTAGTGCAGTTTATAAGGGTTCATTCACAGGTGGCCAGGGAGCTGTAAAAGCAGGCAATTGAGCTGTGGTTTTACTATACCCCAACTGCCAACCTAAACCCATGAATGCAGCTGTTCAAGGCTGTACTTATGCCCCAGCTGTGATGCTTTGCTTCATGGTCAAGGCAGAAGTTAAAAGGCATGTTACATTTGACAAGTGGGACTACCAACAAATGCAAGCTATTCAAGTGAGGCCATGCCACAACTATGTGGAATGCATGCAGTGGCAGCGCAGAGTTTAGCATTTCGAAGGTTAAAGCAGGTGGTGAGGAGGCAACATATCGCCTCCTCACTGCCTGTCAAAAAAATTTTTTTGGGTATTCAGGAAAAAAAAAAATCACAGTTGAGTGCAATGCATCACTGCAGCCTGAAATGTAATGTTTTAATAACATTTTACAAAAGGGCAACTATAAGCCAAACTAATCTTAAAACAAATTTTGTGTGTAGCTCCACACAGACCAAACTATTCCGTTTGCAGTTTTATCACGCTTTATTTTAAAGGTCTCTTGGACACTTGCTTGGAGATCTTTTCCCTTCTGTGATTCTTAATATCCACTTGCAGCCAAATCGCACATCATCTGCTGAATATTGAGCAATAGGGTGACCCAGCCATTGCAGCAATCTTTATTTATCCTTGTGTAGATTCCAAACAGGATATATAACAAAGGCTGGCATACTGCTTGGCAAAAAACCATTAATATATATATGTGATGTGGACTAAAAGATATCCAGCGTGGCCCATTTTGCCAGGATGACAGCAAACAACTAAAGGGCAGCTCACATGTGGCAAGACATTCAGCCCGTATCTTTTGTGAGCTCAAGGTCCCTGAAGCATAAACTTAAATGGAAAATAAATTATTCATTAAAATTCTATTTTTTGGGGAAATAATTGCAACACAAGAGATTATTAGACTTTCAGCGCTGAATTATTATTGGAAATTGAACACGCGTGGAAGCTGTTTTCAGGCCGCTTTTTCAAATAACAGGTTATAATGCAGCTAAAGGAAATTACGAAACAGTGTTGGCATTTTCATTAAAATAGTTACTGTTTGATAAAGCCTGAATGCGATGCCTGGCACACTATACAGAATATAATTTTACAAAATCCTGTTTACAGAGTAGTTACAAAAAAATCTGACCACTACATTTCCTTTCCTTTACGTTTTATTTAATTTAAATATAATACTGGGTGCACCAATGGTAACAGTTTCATGTAGAATGTGAGGTTTTGTAAAGAGATAAAGAGAGAAAGCACAACTTTAAGTGAACCCTGTGTGAAACTAAAATAAGCAAAAGGTCTATGTGCAAAAGAAAATAGTAGATCCTCTTTTCCCACTTTCCACATTACCTAATGCTGCTCCGTTGAAGAGAAATCTTCCTCTGAAGCCTGCTAAGAAAGCTACACTACTGGCAGTGTAGATCTCCTGGCTCCCAGCTTCCATCAATCTCCATGCCACCTCTGTGCCCTGTAGTGATGTTGACGTCATCAAGGGGAACTACAGAGTGCAAAGGGGACCAAGAGATCAAGAAAGTAGTGCAGGAAGTGGGATGAGTGACTCTTCCAACTGTGTATAATCTGAGCTTTAGCTATTTAGCTTTGTAAACAGGTTTTTTTTTTTTTTGTAGCTAAATGGGTGAGGTTACCCTTGTAAATATATGAAAAGAAGAACAGGGCTGTACCTAATGCCTAGAAAAAAATTATATGTAACTTATTTATAAATACAGTATTGTTATAGTAAAGTATATGCAGTTTTTTTGTGCAGTGCCATTTTTTTCTGTAGTAAAGGAAGCTTTCTAGTGTCAGTTGTTTGGAAATTGTTTGAACTTCATGACTAGCAAAGTGTTACATTCACTTTTTGAGACTATAAAATGATTGCAGACGTCTAGAGCCACTTTAATAGCTCCCCTGGCATGCACCCAAGAGAGCAGTGAATGTATAGTGAGAGGTTCATGTTAGGTGCTCAAGAATACTATTGCTACTTAGTTAAACATTTATGGCAGGGTCTTATCAGTGCTATCAAGAACGATTGTTCTCCAGAGAGCGATTGACACTTAACCAAGCTGATCTCAAGTCAGTCAAGTCAAAGCCTTTTTTTGCATAGGCAGCAGTGAAGATATCATTTAGCCACATTAGTCACTAACATTTGCAACAAAATCTCCATTCCTCAATGCTACAGTGAATATGTCCTCAGATGTAACTATAAATGCTCTACATCAAGCACTTCCCATGGTGCTATAGCGATTATGCATCTCATTATGCCATTGTGGATGCCTAGTAGGGCTGAGCTTCAGGTTTGGGTCAAGCACAGGTTCAAGTCAAACCCAGCTTGTTTGCAGTTCTGGAAAACAGCAAACAAATGCAGCTGTTTGCGTTCTGTAGCCACTAATTACCAATAATGCACTTCCTGGCTTTTGAACTGTGGTCAGGTGGATGAGAAGGACCT